GTCACTAGGTCAGACTGTCTCACTCTCATCCCCAGGAATGGACACGAGGCAGGGCTACCGTAAGAATGTTGTGCCTGGGCCTGACTCCACAGCCCCTGTCTCCATCACCTTCGCTCATTCCACTAACCAGCTTTTTCTCTTTTGACTTACAGACCTGTTGTTAAATTGCCCGCCTCCATCAAGGGCCCCCTGGGTGTGTAAAGTCCGGGTTCCCAGCCAGGCCCTCCCCACTCCTACATCTAGATGGTGTTTGGTATTTTTTTGGAAAGAGAAGTGAACGTTCAGCCCCAAGTGTGATGTCATCCTATCTACTCCCACGCGTCTAGGGTGGGGCCTGGACTAGAGAGGTCAGAGCCAGCTCCTAAGGTGATTGAGGTGGGTTCCAGGACACAGGCAGAGCAAGCAGGAAGCCCTGGGGTTCCTGCTTTGTATCTCTGCCTGACCCACCTTGGAGTCTGGACCAGGACTTCCATGAGGAGAAAACACAGCTACTCCTAGAGACCACCTAAAGCCTGGCCTAGTAAGGGTGCAGGACCTCAGGGTGAGGGAGCCCCTGACATGGAGACCATCCCATAGGTAGAATGTTCTAGGCCCTCCCTGGGAGCACTCCTGAGGAAAAGCACGGTCCCTGTAAGGTCCAACTAGGGACCGGGTCACAGCCGAGTGAGGGGACACTGTAGGAGCTCCCTCAGTGAAGAAGGGGACGGAGGGGGACATCACATCAGGACTGTGCTGCACCGAGTCCTATGCCCTCAGTCTCAGCTCTCACCCTAACCCTGCAGTGATTGTCAGAGCTTCCTTGTCCTCAAGTGCAGCCAGGCGACATGGACTTTGGGTCTTGAAGTCTGGCTTTGACCTTCTAGAAGAGGTAAAGTCCTTGAGGAACGGAGGGAAACCAAGATCAGCAGTATCCTTCATCCTCAGTGCCCATCCAGAGTGTGCTGGCCCCTGCCTTCACCCTCAGGCCTTGCCACTCAAGCCTCTCCCTGGCCTCCAGGTCTGTCCCTCTCCTGGGAAGAGGCGTCCGCCACCACCCTCTTGTTCCCCATATGCCTTCCTAGCTAGGCAGCGAGCGCCCGCCGGCTTCTTCCACTTCTGGTCTGTGACCCTATCTCCCACCAAGTGACTGAATCCCCAGAGCCTCCGTAGCTTGTTGTTCAAGACTTGTGCAGTCTTGGGGGGCAAAGATCAAAACACTGCGGCCGACAGTGGCGTGGGAGGGGGGAAGCAGGTGACGGACAGCTGCTATGGTCAGATATTGACATACCCGCTAAATTGCTGACCGATGAATCTTCTGATGGATGGGAGCCGTCAACCCCCGTGGAAGCCTCTGATCCTAAACAGGTTTCCCGAGGGAAGCCCCTTGAGGGGTGAGGAGCGCAGAAGTGTCCCTTCTCTGGGTGCCTGAAGCCACCAGGTGGTTCTTGGCCTTAGGTGCACATTGGAGTCTTTTAGAAAGGAATGCCCAGCCTCTACCCAGACACAAAGACTTAGTTGGTCGGGTGGACCCAGGCATCAGAATTCACACAGTTCCTTTGCAGTGTGTGTTTCATACTGGGGTACCTCGTTGAGGCCTACATCCAGACTAGCTGAGTGATCTCTAGAGGGCAGAAGGAGCCTACCAGAAGAGGGTGGGGGAGAGGCAAGACCAGAAAGGAAGTCTCATCCACCTCCCGCCTTTCCGGAGTCCAGATCCCTGGAGGAGACACCCACATCCTTCCCATCAGTGCCCCTCTGTGCTTAATGATACCGACCTGAATCCTGTCACGTGCAGCCTGACTAACACAGAGTTTGAAACCTATGAACCAAGTGTGACACAGATGTCCCCTCCCCAGGCCTGGTACTCCGCAGCATTTGGTTGTGAAGCTGGCAGGAAGCTTTTGTCCCCTCTTAAGAGTCTGAGGGCTTGGAGGCTCCAAAGCTGGTGGGGGAATTGGGAGGCAGAAAGTACTGGCTACATCTTGTGGTTGTCAGGGACGGGCTGTGGGAGAAGAGGGCTCCATGCAAGGACTGGGCCTAGAAGGAGGCTGGCATTGTCTGTTCCTCCATTAAAGGAAGTCCCATTCTTATCAGTACTGGGGACTGGAAGGGCAGAGGGTCACACAACCAATTACACGGTGATTAAAACCGTGAGGTCCTGGGGGTGGGAAGGAAGTGTGTGGGAGAAACTGAAGGAGTTTCAAGCTAAAAGTTTGAGGAATGTGATCTCCCAGGCATCTTCTCAAGTGACCTCATTCAGATGTCTACGTTAGGGCCCGAGGCTTTGTGTCCAGTCTCCTGTGTACTCTTCTGATCTCAAGGCTGAGGGATCTGGTAGAGGCTGGGGAAGAGGAGCGCAGATACAAGGGGATGATGATTCCAAAGCTATTGTCATTGTGTTTCAGTAAACAGAATCCCAGAAGTGAAATTGGCAAGTTACACATTTAGGGACCATACCTATGCGTTCGGTTCCTAAAGTCCCAGACCCTGGGGGAGCAGA